AGAAGTGTTATCCATGGCTTTCCTTTTACAGGCATTTGAGAAATTGCTACCCCTCTTTTCCACAAACATGGAGGTAGTTGGTCCCCAAAACAAAAGGTGATAACTGTTCCCACTCTGTTTTTGACAGTGGGATCATTGCCTCCAAATGCTGAAATTTTTAGAGATGTTGAGACACGGATCTGATGCCAGGATTTCAAATTTTTGTGCCTTGCCAAATGGCTTTTGCCCTTCAAGTGTCCACCTGCAGCGAGTTAATGGGATCTCCTAAAAGACAAAACAAGAAATGGCTGTGATGTTCTTCCAGGAATGGTCAGGTAGTTGAAGTGGTGCCTTTCCTACCTTTTCCAATCATTTGCCCCTGCTGATCGTAAAGAAGTGACTGAAAAGCGGACTCCATAGTCTAAGGGGTTAATGTTTCCTTCCTTTTCTACAGGGTCAGTCCAGTTTTTCAAGTCTGTATCACCCTACTGAAAATGGGAAAAGATGCAAAGGCTTGACAGAGATGGAATTAACCTTTTCTGTCCTTGGAGAGTTCTGATTTTAGCATTAAAAGGTGTAGAAGAACCTCGAAACCATTTTGTGTGCCAGTGTGATAGGTGTTTGGTCAACTGGTTTCACCTGTTTACCACGTTTGTATAAAACTAGGATTTGCCAGCTAAACATCCCTTTGAGTTATTGCTATTACAGAGAATGAATGGGTAAAGGAAGGAATTAAGGTTTAATTTTATTTCTTCATTCACAACTTGCATTTAGATGCTCTGGATCCAACTGCCTTTTTAAAGCCAAGACTCTCTGATGCTGAGGGTTCTTTAACCAGGCACCAGTAACACTCAATTCAGTTGGACTGGAGCGGATCCATATTTTCTCTCTTTCCAGAAGGGCAGAAACCTCATTTCTGCATTGCAAGGCTGCCTTCCCCATGTGGGACTCAGACCTTTGGGGTGTCAGGCACTGTGATGGGCCTGGCTCCCTCACCTCCAAAGAGCTTAATCATGGAAAATGAAAGGAAGATAATAGTATCTTTCCAACCTTTTGCCTTGGCAAAATGTCATGTGCTCCGATTCCACTTCATGTGGAATAAAAGTTCAAAGGCAACACTGGATGAATGTGACTAGGAAAAACATGGATTATAAATTACTTAGATAGTGGTGGGTCAGAATGAAAAAGGTTAATTTTCAAATAATTTGTTTTCTTTTTCCATGCTATTTTCATGTGGACGCCATCCATCAAAGTTCAAAAGTCCTCAATATACTGTTTACAAAGTGTTTTTAGCAACAGTGGAAATAACCAAAGAGAATAATGTGAACCCTTTCCTCTTTGCAAAGGGAAAGGGAGGAAAGTGTGACCATAACTTATCTTGTGATACAACACAATGTTTCTTGAAATTTTAAGGATCTGGAATGCAGTACAGTTGCTGTCAAATGTGCCAACAGTGCCTGTGTGAGAGAGAGAACGAATGCCTACACTTACTGTTGCATATGAGTAAAGAAAGAGATGTGATAGTTGAAGGAAAATCCATCATATCTTTCTATTATTCTGTAGAGGACAGATCCAATCTGGTCTGATACCAAAATTAGCTCTTAGTTTTAAATGCAGAGTCACCCTTTCAGGTAGAATAAACTTCAATAGTACTAGTCCTCCAGTTTTACAGCAGTCGGACTTAAATTAAGGCCCAGCCAGGAAAAAAAAACAAAAACAAAATAACTCCAAGCCCTGAGAAACTACTTCCCTCCCTCTGATTGTGAGAGCTTCAAGTTAGGAAAAGGTTTATGCCTGATTTATTTAAGCTTTCAGTGTGGCTCAGGTTCATAAGGGATTGTTTTATATTCTTCTGAAGTAAGCATTCTGTGATTCCTTGAGTTGTTTTTATGGTGAGCTATGCATTAGACCTTATGCTGAGCTCTGTACAGCTAAATCTGATCTTTTGCCTGGGCCACATGAAAACCAGAGGTCTTCTCAGTGCACTTGGATTCCAAGCATGGATTTAGAGGTGGATAGGTACAAGAAGTAGTGAAGTTTATGCGTTTCTATTTTTTTCCTTCCATTTTTTTTTTTTCAATATGTGCCGAGTACCTGGTGGATGACAGAATCACAAAATGGTTGAGGTGACAGAAAGGTTTTATCCATCATTGTTATATTTACCTCTTTTTCTTGTTCATCTCTATCCTTTTCCCAACACCTCTGCTGATGTATCATTTTAACTGTGCAATGTATATGTTAATGTTATAAACACACTTCCTATACATTCTGTTAATGTTATTTTTCTCCAGTAATGTTAGGGGGGAGGAAACAAACAAACAAACAAAAATAAACAGGGCTTGCTGCTGCGCTTCTACCTTATGAGGTTTAAAGAGCTGGAGCCAGCACATTCACATGTGGCATCCTGTTGTGTGCTGTTCAAGGAGAAGGTGTGACAAGCCAGACTTGGATGATAACTATTTTGTGGTAGGAAATCCTAAAGACTATAGTTTGAAAAAAAAAGACAAGCCTTAATGATGGATTAAACAAACAGCATGTTGTATTTAGGAGAAGTGCAGTATTTAGAGGTAGTGCAGCCGAATATCCACACGAGGGAAAGCAAGTTGGAGAACTGCAGAGGAGCTTTGGTTGTTGCAGGTGAGAAGGGAACCAGTAAAGAAATTTCCTCAGCCAGCGAGTGAAACTCTTTTATTTTTTCTGCATTTATTTATCTGTTTGTTGTTTGTTTGTTTTGCATCAGGGAGTTGATCTTCCTGTCACTGCATTGAGTGCAGCCTTCTTGCTCCCTGTACTGCTGTTGTGGTCATGTAATGGTCAAAGAACATCCAAGAATGCTAACGTACATTGGTGCCTCTTGGACACTTGTTGCTTATGGTTCCTGAAAAGGAAGGTTAATCTTTAAGTTTTTGAATCAGATCTGTAACCCTTATCGGTGTGTAGTGACCGTTACTGTGCAAACTGCTTTATCATTTAGTGCTTTATCGGTACAAAAAGTGCTTTATCAGTACAAAAAGAGTAAGTGGAAACTAAAAGTTTGAAATTATTGCTCAATTGTTTCTTTGCAGAAAAAGCTCTGAGAAAAATGAAAGCAGAATGAAATGTAAGGCTAGGGTGGACTTTTTAATCCTAGTATGAGGATTTACCCCAGTTCTTGCAAAAGCAGCACACAGAAGAATTTGTCTCAGCGGTTTGCACAACAAAATGAAGGTGTGATTGCAGTGTGGCTGGTGCACTTGTGCTGTCTTTATGCCAGGTACGCTTGCTTTCTGCCACAGAGGTTGCCTCTCCTAGCTATATAAATGCTATTCTGAGTGTCTGCTGTGGGCTCTTACACTTTTGTTTCACTGTGTGTATGCACCCCTGCAGTCCCAGCGTGTTTAGTGTCTCACATGGAAAGTACAATAATGGAATGCAAATAGAAAGAACAAGGTAGCTTTTCTTGTTCTAGGAACAATGCTGCACAGAACAGAATACTGTCTTTTTAAAAATTCACCATGTGAGCTTCTTGGGCTGTTTGCTCTCTCCCCCTTTCTCTATACTGGCTTCTGCAGGCCTCAAAACTGAGCTCCGTTCTGTGTACCAGTGTGATCAGAGGTGGGAGCAGGCTGAGGTGACAATTCAGATTTGCTGAGTTGTCACTTCAGTGCATCCATTCGCCACTTGCAAAAAAGGATACAATCCAAACAGCCTTGCAGCAGAAATACTCTCCCCAGCTGTTTTTGCAGTAAGTCTGGCACTGGGAAGGAGTTATTATTTGGGAATAAACATCCTCTAATAGGCTGAGTGACAGTTTGGGATTTGTGCCATAGCTATAGACCAGTGCAATTCTGTTCCCCTCCTTTTAAAATCTTTCCTCAAGACTTTCTACTGCTAAAAGGAATTGTGTTATTCAAATAAGACTTAAAGTGGGAAAGCGAGCAGTGGGAAATTCCTAATTATTTGCTCGTGCGTGCTGTTCTGCAAAAGCTTTGAGTTATAAATGCTGGCTGCTTACAAGAGCAAAAGGCAGAAGGTATTGTTCTTGGCCCAACAAACTAAAATCCAACATATTTAAATGCTTAAATTACTGAATTGCATTATTGTCTACATCACAGGAATAAAAGAACTGCAGCAGTGTAGCTAAGAAATCTGTAATAGAAGCATTTGCCTGAACAGCACCAAGTTGGATATAGTCTACCAGAATTACAGCAATCTGGGTCTGTGGGGTCTTATTAAAACCATTGTAAATGTTTTCGACAAGAAGCTTGATGGAATCCAACAATCTCTGGACATATAGTGTGTTCAGAGGATTTCCGAGTGTAAGATATCACCCTGTTCTGGACAGACAGCTTTGGATAATCCTCTAATCCAAGTGATTGCTTAAATATTTCACTCTAAATAGAATTTTGCTCACTCTATGATGACTTCCTGCCAGAGACCTCAGAGCAAATTAAAAATAGAAAGGAAACAGACTGCAGCTGAATAAAGTGGGTCCAACTTCATCCGCCCAGGATCTGGGCTGGTCTCGTGACTCTGGGATCCCAGATTTGCTGGGATTTGCTGCCCTGGTGGCTCCTGAGCTCTGCTGCTCCTCTATACTCAGGGTTTTTTTTTGCTGAGGAGACAAGGTAACTGGAAAAGGGCAATTTTGCTCTGAGGACACTGGGGTTCTGCTTGTCGTTGTGTGTGATAGGAGCAGCTTCTAGCCCGAAGCTGCTCACCCTCTCCCTGCTCCTGCCTTATGCTGCCTTCTGTGCATGGCAGAGCACCCTGCCCCTCTGGGAGCTGGGGCCCAGGTGGCCATGAGCTTTTCAGTCCGTTCTTTTAGGTGACAAAAGTTTTCACCAACTCACAAGAGAGGCTTGCAAGAAAGAAGACAAAAGATTAATTTCCTTTGCTTTCTTTGTTCTCCCTCTGTTGGCTCCACTCTTTCATGTTCTGAGAAGGAAGATGCTCCTTCCGCCCCTAGTCCCGCCAAAAAATCACAACATTTTTTTTCTTTTCCTTTTTTTTTTTTCTTTTTCTTTTTTTTTCTTTTACAGATAAATTTTGTAGCCTGCCAGCTGTTTGCCCTTTTGGCTGCTTTTTGGTTTCGTGTTTACTTGGGTCCCAGTCATGCCAGTTCTGCTGTTCGCCATGCGTTTGCCACCCTCTTTGGAATATACTTTGCTGTCTTCTGCTTTGGGTGGTGAGTATTTAATCAGGCTTGAGTGGAAGTATTTTTAATGTCCATATCAGATTTTCTAGATTACTTCTTTTTAGTCTTGAGGCACTTTCTGTATTACAGTCCTGGAGGAAAAAAAAAAAAAAAAGGGAGAGAGGACAAAAAAGCCCCAGATTCCTAATAATGTAGCCACCCTAAAACTTCAGAGTGAAATGAGTCATGAAAGCATTTGTGAGGTATTTAATCTACCAAAAATTTCTGGCAGTTTCTGGCAGTTAAGGCCAGGAGTCTGCTGTGAAGATGTTGGCAATGGAAAAGTAGCATCCAATTTGAACATGCACTCTGAGTGAGACTGCTCTTTCTCTGAATCAAACACATTGACAGCATCTTGTCAATGAGTGCTAATCTATGTTGAATGCTCATACCATAAAAATGTCATTGTGATAATCCTTGTTCAGGGATATCCTCATAAGACATAGCATTAATGCCATTTGTCTGGAAAAATACCCCTGCAGCCTGTATTGCCAGCCCTTTTTCCAACCTCCTCCCATTACTTAGAAGTTTCTTAAATATTCACTTTGTTGTTTTCAAGGTATTCCATACATCTGTTTGTCCTGGTGATGATGAACTATGGCATTATGAACATGGCGAGTATTCCAAACATCCACAGGTGAGCTTATGTGGCTGTGAGTACAGGGCTGCTCCTCTGGGCAACTTCCCCCTTTCATCCAGAGGCATGAGCCTGTTTGCTTGTTTTTGTTTTGTGCCTTCTTCTCTCCTTTCTTGCCTTTCTTTCTCTGTTATGTTGCAGGAGTTTTGTACGATTGGTTACAGAATCAGCTATAATTTTGTTAATTTCATTTTGTGGTGTTTCTTTTTTCTTTTTTTCTGCATTGATATATTACGTTTCCTTAGGTAATTGCTGTACCCCAAAGTAGGCTTTTGCAGGCTTAGCAGTTTATGCTCGTGGCTCTCATTTCTTAAACTTCATGAAGTCATATTGCCCTTGGCATTGTGTCCTTGAGGATGGCTTTGGATAATCCTTTTTAATGTATTTTCCCTCTTGCTGTATGGTCTCTAGTTATTTTCCAGCTACTCTTAAGCTAGGCAGTTCAGTTAAGGTCACTGGCAGCTTAATTTTTTTCTTTCTCTGTACAAAAGTCTTGGAGGAAGACCACTAAGATATCTGAAGTGTATCGTCAAGTGACTGCCTCATGGGACAAGAGGCAGAAGGCATTTTGATGTGAAAATGAAAACTGCATGAAAATCACGTCTGCTTCTTTCACTGGGTAATAGAAAGTGGATGTGAAAGAACCTTCTCTATCCTGTCCTCTCTAATAACTGAATGGGAATCCCATCACTTCATGATGTATCTAGAATTGTTGAGCAACATGAACTGTGACAGGTCTGTCTGTAGCAGTCACTAGCGTTTTGCACCAGCAAGATAGGCTTTAATCAAGGAGTTGGGCTTTTTTTCCCACCCCCTCACAGAATTCAAAGGCAAAGCCCAGAGGTAATTAATAAAAAGTCAGACAATGTTTATGAAAGAAATGCCAGCCATAAACCAGAAGAAAAGGAGCTAAAATGTATATTATTTCTTCCTGAGTCGTCCATGCCTATCCTTTGGAGAAATGCATCAGTAATACTTCTGGATCAGAGAACTGAGCTCCAGGGGTCAAGTCTCCAATGCTTACTAAAGTCTTTATAGAGAAGTTGAGGTGGTGGTAGGATTTTCAACAGGAAACTCCCTTACTCTTACTGTTTAGCCAATTAGTCACAAGGGGAGAAATAGCTGTATATTGCAGCACAAATTAAGTCACTTTCTATAATGTCAGCTACTGCTGTGAGATAGTCATGTTTTGATTTGAATCAATGTGAAATAGCAAATGAACATGCTGAAAAAGCTTAGGAGGGCTGGGGAGATTGGACTAGGCCTTTTCTACTGTATTGTATTAGCCATAGCTTTATGACTTGAAGTACAGGCACATCATTAATTTTGGCAAAATAACTGTTGCTTCATGCAGCGGGGCTATAAGAATACAGGAAGCTGAACAGCAGGGACTGGGGACTTCTCTCTCCCCCCCAAAATACAAGTGAAGGTGAAAGAAAGGAAATAAATAAACTACATAGTTTAACCTACATGCTCCTCTGCCTGCCTGTTTTCTGCTAGAGTGCTCTGTGGTGGGGCTGTCAGTCTGTTGATGAATTAATCCAGCATCTTCAGTAATGTGCTCAGCTACAGGAGCAATTTGGTACATCCCTCCTTGCCCACCTCCGTTCAGTGCAGGTGCTTTAGATGTAAGCATCAAGGATTTTTTTAGGTGCTTCATCCCATTTATCACAGTTACGTGCATCAGGCTGTTGCAGCTTTCTCTTGGAGGGATGCCTGTCAATCCTTGATTAGGGGGAGCACAAGGACCTTGGTGAGGCTGGGCTGGATGCCAAACTGAGGTAAAATAGATAAATTCTGCTGTGAACCTCCTGAAGAAGCTGTCATGTCCCCTCAGTCTGCTGTCAAACAGCTGTTTGCCGTGAGCTGTGTGACCTGCACGTTGTACTGTGATCCCTAGCTTAACATCCTTCACTGTCACTCATACTGCAGTTTACTGGTCCTCAGGACAGCAAAGCCCGTTTCTTTTATAGCAAGCCATAATCTGTCAAAGGTCTGGCCCATTTTCAGTCACCTGCTAACCCTTCCTCTGGATGTTTGTCCTCATCTTTAACTCCCTTGTCCTGATCGGTCCAATTCTGCAATGTGCATTACCAACCTGGCAGGTTTCTGCTGTCTCAGCTCTCCTAGGGCTCCTCGGCATGCAGACTGCACAGTTTGGTTCCTCTACAGATGTCTTCGTATCTTCTCATCCGTGTGGCTATCTCCTCCTGCGCTAGGGAGCCCTGGTGCACTCGGCCCATCTGAGACCTGGGGGACATGACCCTTTCATTCTGGTGTCTCAGCTCCCTATCACTGTCTAGCTTACTTGGTTTGCAAATTGTCCTCTTGTCCCTAGGTTCCCATCTGCTTCTTACCTCCCTGGTACCCTCTTTTCTGCTTTGTCACATGCGTGGAGAGTAAGTTGTAGGAAAGGTTGCAACTGCCCACCTAAACGCTGCAGAATGTCCAGTTCTCAAACGATTCAGTTCTTATGATGGAAAGTGTCACACTGCCATTTGACCTGTCATATTTTTGTGGTCATTCTGGAAAACTGAAAGTGAATCTGCCAAGTTCCAGTTAAAGACTGTTTCTGCTAGAAGATGCATGCTTCACCATTTAGGGCTGAAAAAAATAGGCTAAGTGTCATTAGCTGCCTTTAAGGTATTATCTGCCTTCTTTCTCCTCTGGTTTTGCATTGGCTTGAAATATATGAGTTTCTGGTAGACCTGAGGAGGGATCGTACATGTAATTAAAAGGCATATACAGATAGGGTTGTTAAAAGAATAACGGATTAATTCAGCTACACACACTAAATAACATCTGGTTTCTAATACCTGAGTTGGACAAAAATTCTAAAACAATTTGTTAGATAGGGGAACCCTCCATAAAAAGGAAATACTCAACTTGTAGTGGTCTCATTTCTCTCCCTCGCTCTCAGTATGAAGAGTCTCCCCTGCTATGTTGCAGCAGGGAACACAAAATTATAAGTCCCCCTTTGAAAATTTTTGCTAGAGCTTGTAACATAGATTCAGACTTGTTAACCCAATTTGCAAAGCATAAACCCCAAAAGCCAAATTGAGTGATTCCAGTTCTTGCTGGTACGTGTGTTGGTAACTATTTGTTCTGTGTATTGTGTTTTTAGGTACTCCTTTGCCGTAGCTATGGGATACCTCACGTTGTGCCACATAAGCCGAATATACATATTTCATTATGGTATTCTTACTACAGATTTTTCTGGGTGAGTGAGTCTGCCAGCTGTGTCCTGTATCATTTGGTATTAGATGAATGTAGTGTTTTTTTAAAAAAAATAATGCTATCTGGGGAGCTCCTGCAATCTTGTTTGCCTTTAAACTTTTTTTTACCAGTTTGCTGCTGTTAAAGGAACAAATACTGTGACTTCACAGCGAACCCCTGTTTCTGCTGCCTTTTTGCTGAGCACTATCTAGTCAGGAAGGAAGAGGTTGGTTGGCTACTCATCTCCCTGTAAACGCAGCTGTCAACCTGGAGTTGTCCTTTCCTACCTTTTGACTGACTCGTGCATGGGAAGGGGTCCCAGAATGATTGCAGCCCTCTCTGCAGCCTGCTGGAGAAGGTGTTATCTCCCTTAGGACAAGAGCCAGTGCCAGAGGAAGATTTGAAGGGGTGAGAGGATAGGGGAGCTGGGACAGGTACAACCAGTTTAGAGAGAAAGGGATTGTGTTCTGTACCTGTGTTTCCGTCACCGAGGCAGGTTGTGAGTAACATTTAAGTAGCCCGACTTTGTATTATCATGCAGTTCTTCCTCATGTAGACAGTAGTCTCTCTGTATTTGGTTTCACTGAAGCGGTAGAGGAGGCCTTGCAAAAAGTGCAGGTATTTTGTAAAAGAAGGAGAGTCTCATGTCTCAGTGATGGATGCCAGCTAATGCTGTATCTTGTTTCTGAACATGGTACCATTCTGCCTAGTTTAAAAACAGTGTGCTAACCCATATTCCACTTGTTAACTGAATGCCTGAATGCAGAGTAATTATTAACATACCCTGAAAAACCTCTGTGAACTGGAACAGTAAGTTGTAGATAAATGCCTCTTCCGAACCTCAGTCTTCTTACAGGCATAGAAAAGAAAGTGGAGTTTTTGGTTGTGTGCATATGTGGCTATGTGTGTGAGGTGGGGGTGGAGGGGGGCGGCTAAGCATTTAAATGCATTTCTGCAAAAAGTGATATCTGGTCTTCTGTGTCTCTGGAGTTTTTGGTTGTGTGCATATGTCGCTATGCATGTGAGGTGGGGGTGGAGGGGGGCGGGTAAGCATTTAAATGCATTTCTGGAAAAAGTGATATCTGGTCTTCTGTGTCTTTTTTTTTTTTGTCTCTTTTTTTTTTCATAGGGGAGGGGCAGGAATGGGGAATTTTTGTGCTTAGAGAAAATTTAGTGCTGTATTTTTTCCTGCTATTCTATTAGTACACAAAAGCGTGTCCTGAATGAGCGTGACATACCAAGCAGCCTATAAATGGGGTTGGAATGCTATAGCTATGTGTGCTGTGAGGCAGCAATGGGTGAGAACACGCTTTTCTGAATAGCCTGTTCAGAAAGGCACTGGGAGGCATACTAGCTGTCTCACTCCCAAGACATTTAATAAGGATGCAGTTGAGACTGGGGGTGGAAGAGGAGGAATGGTGACCCCTTTATAGACTAGGAAGCATTTTCTGCTCTCTTGATGAAAAGGGAGCTACTTTTTTTCGAATTGTGAGCTTTAGGATATTGCTGGAGGAAAATAATAATGCTTAAACTTACTCTTACATAGTTATGTCCTGTTACTTCAAAATAAAAAACAATTCCTAAACTTAAGTCAAACAGAAAACCGTAAAATAGTTAACGGGCAGAAAATGTAGAACAGATGTGTGAACCGCATCTTCCTGGTTTATTCTAAAAACTAAGAATAAGAAAACGCTGTGTTAATAAAAACTTGAAATCCAAGTGCTCAAACTCAGGTCAGCTTCTTAAATCTGTTTTACAAACTGGTTTTCTCAGCTGCAAACAATATATTCCCGCTGAGGCCGATGCACAGCTGATTGTCTCCCTGTATTAGCAGAAACTTCATGGCCTCCTCTTCATTGCCCGTGCCTGGTGGCTCCACAGACACTGTTGTGTCAGTCTGGTAAAATTCAGACAGGCTCCTGGCTAGAAGCATGTCCTAAAAAATCCCAGAACTTCAGATACAACCAAACTGGGATCCACAGAGCGATGCCCAGCTCCCTCCAGCATGCTGGGTGAATGCTGCTGATGGCACTCTGATAGTGCCAACTGCTGAATTTACAGGAATCCTGAAAAGTGAGCAAAAAGCCTGCGATCGTCTGATTCATGTCTGAGGTCTCAGTTATCCTCTGTGTTTCTGGCAATACTTGATTGCAAGGAGGAAGTGTTAATCCACATCAGGTAGGCGGGTGAGCAGTTCTCGTGTCATCAGCTTGCCAGTGGCAGTTCCCTAAAGTGACAAGCCAGATGTTCAATGAATGTTTCTCAATTTCTATACTGACAGCTGGGATAACTCGTTTGCTCTCATGACCTGCTCTGTGCGCTTAGCAGTTTGCATGCATAATCCTTTTAGCTTGTGTTGCAACTGTATTTTTTTTCTTTTGGTTCCATAATAACACTGAGTGGTGCTATTTGTTTTTTGAGTGCTTCTCCCCACCTCTTTGAGAACACAGCTCATAAAAATGCGTGTAGATATGAAGGAGATATTGAAGAACAGGTAATACTGAACATATTTCTGAGTCATATGTTCAGTAAACTGGGAAACGGAAGATTAAACTGTGACTCATCACTTCAAGGTTAGGGAGTAGGGAAATTTGTACTGTAATGGTGACTAGTTAATTCTTCCAGGTTATACAAAGGATAGTTTCGTTCACTGACCCACACAAACAGGACTATACTAACACATGTAACACTCACATGGAACACTGGAGCTAGGTGAAATGTCGACTTTTTTAGACTATAAGATGGATTTGTGATGTAACTCATTTGCAGTTTGTTGCACTTGATTTTTTAAAAATATATTTAAAGTACTTTTATTTATATTCTATCACAAGGATATGGTGAAATACTTTGGGAATATTCTTTGACAGATTTCCCATAGAAAACTCAGTTCATTTGTGACCGCTAATTGTAAAGCAACCTAATGTTATGCTTCTCCTTTAATTCAAATCAGTCTTTGGAAGGAATGTGCATATTTTATTTTGCTTGTTTTGCCGTGGCATTTATATATTGTACCTAGGAAAACTAAACCCTAACTCTTTCTCTCTCTCTTTTTTTCTCTCTCTCTCTCATTTCTTCTTCTTTATGCTAAGAGGATTATGCTGGTAAGTTGCCTGGTTTCTGTATGACTTTATAAAAATGGTAACACTATCATCCTTTTTATTTTTTTTCCCTTTGAAACACAGACACATACTGAGTATAGTGGTATTTAGGCAGAGATTAGTTTAAAACAAAATCAATTGATCTTGATTTGGATTTTTGGAAATTGGTAAGAGGTATGTTTTCAATCTAGCAAACTGCATGAGCAAATGCCTTGTGCATATCATCATCTGGGCATAATTCAGGGGAAGTCCTCATCCATATGAAGTTAACTGTGTCTACGTTAATCTTTTGCTTGATTGAGAGCATAGAGCTTTTTGGTTTCTTCTTTTGATGCCAGACAGCATCTGAGCAAAGTTTCATAGTATTTGCTGTCCATTCAGGGAGGCCCAGGGAGTGATAACCATGTATATACAGTACGTTTCTTGGTGCCATTCCTTACAGAAAGAAATTCAGTGGGTGAAAATCTCCATACACACTGGAACTGCTTGCAATCTTGTGTTAATCTTGGAAGAGAGACTGGAGTTGAAATTATCAGACATTTTTTTCTCCCTGAGACTGTCAAACCTGCATTAGCGTTTTGTCGTTTTGTTGGTTTTGTTTTGTTTTGTTTGAGGAAATTGATCCCCAGAACTATTGGGCATCTTCTCCCACCAGCTATACACCCAGTGCAAAAGAGCAGCAGCATTTCTAGCAAAGCACTTTAAAAATATTGGCCACTGAAAGAGCTCACCAGAAAAGCCATATAAGCAGATACTATAGTAAAAATTCTCGCTTCAGGCTTATCTGATGGTTAATGCTTTGTTACTTTTTTGTTTTTCCCCCTCCCAATGGCTTTGTGTCAACCACAGAAGACAAAGGTACAGCAGCCAGTTTTTACAATGAAAATGCATTTGTGGATGGGAACAGATACAGAAGTACAATGCCCTGCTAAAGCACAACGCAGAAACACTAACTCCTCCTGTGAGGTTAGCAGGTTGTTTTTACTCTGTCATCTTTTAGATGGACCGTATCTTTCAAACTCGTCAAGTGCCACGCGCTGTTCCCAGCGCTTGTTCCATGAGCTCTGGGTGACCCTGGTCCGCATGCGGGGACAGGATGACAGAGCAGGTGGGAGCAGGAGCAGGGCAGGATGCTCCGCATCAACATCTGCTCTGAAAGGGCAAAACGGGCTTTTCTCCATGCCCGCCACCGAGCATTTATCCACTCGAAACTGTGCTGAGATCCCCCAGCATCATACAGAAGTCCTGGAGGTGAGAACTGCCAATTAGCCACACTTCAGCCAGTGAGTCAGTCTCAGAAAGCTCTGTATCTCCTGTGTCCTGGGTCACTTCTCCAGAAATCAGTTTTCTTTGAAGCAAAATATTTATTTCCTGAAGATCTAAGAAGCATGCACTGTTCGGCAGCTTTCACAAATGAATTAAAATAAAAAGGCAAATTAGAAATCTCTTGGGAGGCATGAGCGTGTTTAATAAAAATACTTTCCTCTGCGTGCTCCAGCACATGTGCATTTTTTTTCTGTTGAAATGGGAAGTAAAAACCTGTTTGCAGTGAAGCATCGTGGTGTTCTGGCCCAGTGCTCCCTGGCTGGGGTTTGCACGGGGACTTCAAGGCTATAGAGACAAACCTGAAATAAATGTTTGCTGCTTGGGGCTCTTGTCTGCAGTGAGCCTTTTGACTCCACCTACTCTCCTAGGGAAATCAGGTCAGTGGAAACTATTTCTGGCCTGCGTGTGCCAGACTCCTCCACAGGATTACCTAAGGTCAGAGGGAGTCTGCTGGGGAAATGGCTTTTCTCTTGTAAGTTTTGAACTGGGGGATTAGCACGATATCCCGCCCGAGATACAGGGAGGGTTCCCATGGTAGGGTATGAACTGATGCTGGCATGCTTAATTCCCCACGCCCGTGTTTCTGGACAAACACAGTTTCATGGGACAAGCCATGTTTAAAACTGTTTTAACTGATTTATTCCCATTGGAAGATTAAACTAGGAGGGCAAAGAAATATTTACTCATATTCAACATCCTCTGTAAACTGTCCCATCTTTTTCTTGCCACCATCTTGTCCTCCAAGGCATCAAAATTTAGGTAAAGATTTTTTTTAAAAAAAATTATTACTTCGTTTTTGACTCCACAGGACAATTTCTTGATTCCTAGATAAAATCTGGCTCCTGCATGTAGGGGCTGCAGTGCAGCAACAATCTGAGACTAAACACTGAACCAATATAATACCAAACACAGAAAGAGGAAAAGTCAAGATTCCAAGGCATCAAAATTTAGGTAAAGTTTTTTTATAAAAATTTATTACTTTGTTTTGGACAGGACAATTTCTTGATTCCTAGTTAAAACCTGACTCCTGTGTGTAGGGGGTGCAGTGCAGCAACAACCTGAGACTAAACACTGAGCCAATATAATGCCAAACACAGAAAGAGGAAAAGTCAAGAGGCAGGTTAATGTTACTCCACGTTTCTGTCCCAGTTCGTAGCTGTGGTGGTTAATACGATGGGCAGAGAGTACAACCCATGGAAGCAGACATCTTAGTATGTGGCTGCAAAGCATTTGCAAGGTGTTTGCGTGTGACTGGAGTTCACCTGGTCTGGGCTTCTGAAAATAGATGTAATATTCCCAATGCCATGGTCTTAGGGGTAGTTCCTTGTGATTCATTCCTAAATGCAATATTAGTAGCTGGAATGTTCTCCCTCTTTTTCTTTTTTCTTAATTTTAACCAAATACTTCATGCCACTGCAGGAATCTGTTTTTTTCTCTTAAAATGTTTTGGAGGGTAAGAAGATTTGGAGGAGACATATGGAATTTTAATTCCCCTTCTTGTTTGTATCTCTTAAGACTTTTCCAGTAGAGTCAGAGATATAAAATATTGGTATATGTCAGAAAGAAACACTTGACCATATGTGATAAGATGCTTCATTTTATGCATTAACATAGTCAATGTTTAATTGATATTTAAAATCAAAACTTACTGAAAGGCTGAGCATAAATGGCAATTTAGTATCACCAAGGTTTAATTGCAATTTATGTACTTACCTAGGAAACGATGACGTTTCTTTTACCACCCCCAAATTAAACTGTTTTTTGTTTATCTATTTTTTTAATATTGATTGCAGTTTGGGGTTCTCATGCATTGCTCTGCAAGTATGGGGAAGGGCAGGCGGGCAAGGTGCACCTGAAACCTTGCTTACCCTTTCCCAAAAGGTTTAATGATACCTGATCTCAATCATGCGAAAGGTTTGGGTCGTGCCATGGGTTGCTCACATGCAGCGAGTTTCCACCTTCCTAAATAGTTTATGTGCCGGGACTGAGTCTTAAAGATTTGTCGTGTTTGTGTTTTTCTCTCTTCTGCTGGCACCGGAGAGAAACCTGGAGCGATTTCAGATTGATGGTGGGGTTGTGTCCTACCCTTAGCGTCACCATCTACTTTGGTGTTCGGGTTTGAGGGAGGGACTGTTCCTCTTGTCTGATTACACTGCAGGGTTACTTCGTAGCACAAATGACTATGAATTCCTAATATAGCTAAGAAGAACGTCTCTGTGCTCCGTGTTTATAAGTCGTACAGCTTTAATGCGGGCTGTACTTGTGCTTCCCTTGATTAATCAGCACATCAAAATTGTTTGCATTTTGGTTCCCCCTGGCTTACAGTGGGGGGCCCAATTTTTCTAAGACAAGTGTCTAAATTTAGGCACTTAAAGGCGTACAGTTCTGGCTCCAAGCCTGAGGTTTAAAGTTACCCATTGCAGTATTAACATGAAGTGCTTGCCCTTAGAAAGAAACATATGTGACAAATTGAACCAGTTTTAAATACGTGTTAGCATTCACCCAAAAAGCTAAAGGTCAAACACTGACAAAAAAATCTGTGTTTGTTGCAGTAGGAATGCTCTTTCATTGAAAGCCTCTGTCTCTCTTAAGGATTAAAAAAATGATTTTTACATGCTTAAAGCTTTGGGTTTTAGTCATTTTCGAAACGAAAGCTGAATTTTATCTGAATGGGAAAACCCACTTGGAGAAATAGGCTGTTGGAAATAACGGGGAAAGTAGCATAGAAGGAACTTCTCAGTGGAAAAAAAAAATGCAAGCCGAGTTGGGAAAAATATAGTATGATTGTTTCATCATCCTCAAGCTTCCTGGACAGTGGAAAATCGTTACTGGATTTGCCCATTTTTATCTAGCATCAGAGTTCTAGATGCCCCACTGAGCTGCTATGCCAAGCTTTGGTGGCACAGCTGTGTTTCAGATCTGTGGATATCTAAGTCTGTTCTGGCTTTTAGGTGCAATGCTAACTTTATATTAGCATTGTGCTTTTACTGACATTTTAAGAGAAATTTGCTAAAAGTGTGCAATTAGTTTCCTCTTAAGAAAGCAGTTACTGTTGCATATTCTCTGCTTTGGGGTGGAAAACACAAATCTATCCACACGGAGTTACATACAGATTCTTGAAGTACATCAGCCAATTTAATACAAAAAGTAGAGATTGCTTTTGATGAGAGAACACTTTTATCCAGTACCATTGTGCTTACCATAGTCAGTATATTAATTATCTTTAAAATGAGTTTGTTTTTTTTTTCATGGTAGGATAGTTGGAATGCAGACAGTTAATATTAACCATTTGGGTTTACACTTGATTGCAGCTGGTAGATCACTTTGAGGAATGATCATTCAGAATCTCTTGAGAATCCTCGCTGAACAGTATTATTAAACTGTTATTTTAAACAGTTATCATTGAATATACATATTTTTCTTATCTTCTCAGTGAAACTTATTTCTATATATAGTCACCATAAATAATGTTGTTTGAATAATCAATTTATAACCTCCCAACTCTTACAGTTATGAAGGTCTTGGTCACTAGATGGTGATTTGGACATTGCATGTTGGGGACACACAGATGTGGAGAGGAGCTTTACTGGGCACTCTTTTTTTGTGTTTCCTGGCATGGATCCTTCCAGGGGACAGGTGTCCACTGCTGAGATTTGTATTTAGGGCTCCACAGCCCTTAAAAGTTGCATATGAACAGCAATTAGTGCACTGAACCCCTGCCTGAGAGGGAATGACCGGTTTCCCTACTGTTTCTCCCTTTGAATTCTACTTTTACATCTCTTGACTGCTTCCAGCTGCCTCTTGCAGCAGCCACAGTTGCCACAAAGCTGTGTTTTGCCTCAAAGTTGCATTTTGCCTCTTTTTCTACTCTTTCTCTGATGTGGCTGCTCAGATTTGCCATTAGTGCTAAGAAGTGCTGAAAAGCCAGATACTGCAAATCCCAATAGTGCTATTGCGTGTAAAGGCTCTTCCTGCACTGCTTGCTCTGTTGGCCCCAACACTGGTGCCATGGGAAGCCAGCTCGTGTTTTGGGGAGCCTGCAGATCTCAGGGGGTCGTATGACCAGGAAGCAGATGAGAGACCATGTGCTGTGCTGGCAGCTATCCTGATCCTTGTGCTTTATCAATAGCACTAGTCTTGTGTGGAAATAGGGTATTCTGTATATGGGCAAAGCTGACACTGGTTTAGGACAGTGAGGAGATGAACGATAGGAGAGTAGCCATAAGGGATGCCAGATTCAGCAGTGTCACCATGCAGCTTTGCATCATGCAAGGCTTGAGTTTGGTCTTTGCATAAGGAAAAGAGAACCCAATGGATTGCGGCAGCTGGGATTTTGAAAGTGGTGTCATTTCTTCTGGACTCTAATTTGTACTGCTGTTGGATGGGGAGATCTAAACAAAAAAAGACATTGTTTGCAATTCAAAGCTGCAATGTAAGTTACTGTGTTCTGCCCACGTTCCTCCATCAGCTTGAACTGAAGGTGTTCTACTGGTTGCTAATACTCTTACGCTTTTTAAAGACATTCAGTAAGAAAACAGGTTATAATTTGTATTAAAAGGCATATAATTGTTGTCTCTGTCTTTATTGTAGTCCACTGATGATAATTACACAGAAGATCACAACACTTGCATGCCAACTCCATGATGGTA